TACGTAGCTTGATTAGATATTCCAAATTTAACTCCAGAAAGGCTGTACCAATTTGCGTTCTCACCAGCAATGCCTGAGAGCGCCTGTCTTCCCACTGGCTCAGCAGAATGTGTTGTCCAGTGATTTAACATCTAACGGTTATCAGGTTCTAAAGCCCCATGTATATTTAGGTCTATTTCTGGACCTTTAGTCTCTTCTACTAGTCTATCTCTTCATGCACCAGTATCTCATCGTTATTTTGTTTTTGTGTTAATCTTTATTGGGGATATTTTTTCCATTGATTTTTTAAAAATATATATTTTATTGATTTTTTTTACAGAGAGGAAGGGAAAGGGATAGAGAGTTAGGAACACCGATGAAAGAGAGACATTAATCAGCTGCCTCCTGCACACTCCCTACTGGGGATGTGCCCACAACCAAGGTACATGCCCTTGACTGGAATCGAACCTGGGACCCTTGAGTCCGCAGGCCGACGCTCTATCCACTGAGCAAAACCAGTTAGGGCTCCATTGATTTTTTTTTTTTTTGAGAGAGAGAGATTGGGAGGGAAAAGGAGAGAAATAGAGAAAGGGAGAGAGAGGCATTGATTGGTTGCCTCCTGCATGTGTCTTGGCTGGGGCTGGGGATCGAACCTGCAACCCAGATATGTGCCCTTGATCAGACTTGAACCTGTAGGCAAATGCTCTAACCAGTGAGCACACTAGCCAGGGCCCTGACTTTGTAGTATGTTTTGATGTCTTGGAAGGCTAATCCCCACCTCATAGTTTTTCTGGCTATTCTTGCACGATAGTAGCAATTCATCTCACTCCATAAAATACTTGTAGATAGTTTTTATAGGGATCATATTATATTTATAAATTAACTCAAGGAGAATTATCATCTTTATAATATGGAGCCATTTTATGTGAGAATAAATGTCCATTTATGAATGATACTGGGTAGTAGAGATTCCATGGGCAAGGGAAAATAGTATAGTTTTATGAGAATGAAAAATGGTATTTTTCTCTTGATTCACAGATATTAATGAGTGTAAGACTGGGCTGGCAAAGTGCAAGCGGAAATCATATTGCAGAAATGAAATCGGAAGTTACTACTGCAGCTGTGTCCCAAATATTCCTATTCTCAACTGGGCGGCTAGTGTTTTTAAATTGAACCATCCAGATTGTTATGGTAAGAACCTCCAGTGCTCTCCAACATGAACAAGGAGGGGCGAGGAAGACTTTGAGAGTTCCACCAATGTCAGGTCAGGGTAAGAGAGCAGAGATCTGTCCTGGCCCTTGTCCTTCAACCCATTGTTGTAATCTTTTCCCAGGAAATCTTGTTTAAGCCCGAGATATCAATCATCATCTCTACATCACTGCCTTACAAATTTATGTCTCTTTCCCGGGCTTCCAAATCAACACCCCTAATTTTCTACTGGACTTCTCTACTTGTTTCTTTCTCTCCTTCATTTTAACTGTATATATACTAAATTCCATGAGTTCATACTGATAGCTCCAATCCCAGTTGAATCGCAGGGCTTGATCTAGCTTTCCTTTTTTCCTTCTTTGTAACTTCTTTCTTCAACAACAAAAAAAACCTGGCCCTCACTATCCACAACCTATTGCCTTATTTTTGAAGTCTTGGTGTAATTCCGTATTTTGAGTTAGACTGGATTTGATTTCTGACACTACCGCTTACTTTTGGGGAATGACTAACTTCTTTATGCCTCATCTGTAAGTGGGAAGAATAGTAGTAGCCTCGACTATACTGGTTATGTGCTGCTGAGTAACAAATGACCCCAATGTTAGTGGCTTAAGACAACACATCTTTATTGGCTCACGGACTGTGTAGGGCAGGAATTGAAGCGTGCCTTACCTGGTCCTCTGCTTCTAGGTCTCTCACCATTACAATCAAAGTATTGGTCAGGGATGCAGTCTTATCTGAAGGTTTGTCTGCTTCCAAGCTCACTCACACGGTTGCTGGCTGATTCAGTTCTTTGAAAACGATTGGACTGAAGGCCTCACATCCTTTCTGGTGGTGGCTGAGAGTTCGCCCTCATTCTTAGCTATATTGGCCTCTCTAGCTTACTTTGTTACAACAAGCGCATGAGAATAGCCAAGAAGACAGTGTGAACAAAACAGAAATCCTAGTCCTTACTAACCTAACCTCAGAAGTGACATCTTTTCCCTTTTGCTGTATTCTGTTCATTAGAAATGAGTCTCTGAGTTGAGTTGTGGGGGTGGGGGTGATTGGGGGGTGGTGGGGGTGAGTTCACACAGCAGAATGTGGATAAAGGAATGTGAAGCAGAGATTATTTCAGAGACTTCTTACCTCACATACTGGGTGAAATACCTTCCTCCAAATTCGTGTCCACTCACGGAAACTATGAATGTAATCTTATTTGGGAATAGGGTCTTTGCAGATATAATCAAATCAGGATGAGATCATTCTAGATTAGGGTGGGCCCTAAAACCAGTGTGACTGGTGTCATTATAAGAAGAGGGAATTTGGACATAGGGACACACACACAGAAGATCATGTAATGATAGAAGCACAGATTGGAGTTAGGCTGCCATAGACCAAGGGACAGCAAGGGGCAACCATCGGAAGCTAGAAACAGCAAAGAAGAATATATCTTAAAACTTTCAGAGGGACCCCAGCCCTGCTGACACCTTGATTTGGACTTGTATCTTCCAGAACCATGAGATAATAAATTTCCATGTGTTAAGCCACCCATCTTGTAGTGCTTTGTTACAGCAGCCCTAGGAAATGAATACACTCTACCTATCATTAATAAGGCATATAAAATATTTCTTGCACCTGGGAAGACTCAATTAATATTAGCTGTTATGCTACATAACTCTGTTCTAGAACCTTTTGAGTTCCTTTCAATGAGCTAATGTGTATGATGGCACTTTATATACCATGCTGTGTGGACAAGGGCAAATATTATTACTGTTTCTACATTATTCATTCAATTATCATCCATTCCTTCAGGAAGTTTTCTCTGCACCCTTGATATTCTGGGGCCTCTTCTGTATACTCCCAAGTCATCTCACTCTATTTCTTAACATCTTGGACCCTTGTAATCAGTTAATTGTTTGCCATTATTGACAGCCTGCAAACTCTAGAAGGGAATTCCCTTTGTCACTATGTCGACCTCTATTCAGCAGGTTTAGCACTGTGCCTGGCTTTTAGTAATTTCCCAATAAATACTATGGACTGAATGATTGAACTCGAAGCCCCATCCTAATTCTCTTTTTATTTTACTGTAGAAGGCATTTGGGACTTCTTAGAGGGAAAGTGGGATAGGATGTGGAAGCAGCAGGGAAGGATCCAACTTGAGGGTGCTTGGAAGAAGGGATGTGAGCCAGGGTGTGTTATCTCCCATATTTGATTCACTGGCTACTTTTCTTTCCCAGAGGACACTGGTGAGAAGAAACAGCCATCAGAGACTATTTGGGTGAGTAAGGTGAAGCTAGGTTTGGGAAACAGCTAATTAGTCTTCCACGTCATTCTTCTCCTGAAATGCTACCCTGTGACTTTTAGGATACAGAATAGGAGTGATTTTGTCCTTTGTCCCAGGGGGGCAACATCTGGGGACATTTTTGGTGTTACTGGCATTTAGTGAGTGGAGACCAGGGATGTTGCTAAACACCTAATAGTGCCCAGGATAGCTTCCCACAGCTATTATCTGGTCTCAAATGTCAATTGAGAAGATTGAGAAACCCTGGCAAAGGTGTCCTTCAAAGATCTGCATCAAGCATCCAGAGCCTCATTTTATCCCCTCACCACCTCTCATTCCCTATCTTCCTCTATAAGAAACACTTTGTAGGTTCTAGATACCTCATTTTTTTTTAAGCCTTCATGTTCTCAAAAATGCAATGAAGCTCAGGATACACTCTTCACAGGGCTGCCAGTGATAAATGAGAAAAGTCATATCAGGTTGCCAGCACAGAACCTCGCTCACCTTAATAAATGTTATTGCCTTCTGGGTTCACCCAACCACACTCTTATACATTCCTGATTTTTTAAGTTTATGTAAGAGTCTACCTAACTAGCTTTATTTCTTTGAAAGACAATTCTAAAGAAAAATGAAAGCAAACAGTACATTGCAAAAAAGGCTACCCAATTACTTCAAGGCATAGAATTGACCATATGGAATGAGAGTTCGACTTCTCCAGGACAGCATGAAAATTCTGTGCTTGATGTAGGTAAGAAACACAGAGCATTTTTCCTATGGGGGTGGGGGAGGGATATTTTGTCAGACTTTGCATTTATATGTCATGGAGAGAGTTCCAAAATGCAGAAGGTCAGCTCCAAGGACTATTTCCTTGGAAATCTTTTAGATGCTAAGCTTCTTTTGCTAAAAAACTAAGTTTCCCCCCTCACTAAGTACTTCAGCACACATTTTAAAATTGTTTTTGCCTTTAAATATTCTACCATAGAGGTTGAGCTTGCCTGCCCTAGTTCCAGCTCAGAGTTGGGTGGGCAGTGTGTGTTTCTCAGGCAATTTTGACCATTTAATTCCCAACAGCCAGAGAAGTGGAAGGGAGTACCATCTGGTTGGTCTACCTTGTATGCAGAAAATGAAATCACCAGCAAGGGGTCTTTCACAGAAGGGAGTTTTTCATTTCCTTAGGCATGAGAAGTAAGCCAAGCAAAACTCACTTTCTTAATGTTTCCAGTCTATGAAACCAAGAGGTGCAATGAGACAAATAAGAAGGCTGTTCTGGAAGCTGGAAATAACACAATGGATATTGACTGCAATGATGCTTTCAAAGGAACCACAAGAGGTATTGTGTCTAAGATGGATTCCCTTGACCTTCAGATTCTAGGCCTGTTGTCTCATTTCTAGGTGACTGGGTCAAGATGTGGGGACTTACAACGTTTTTTATTCCAATTCACCAGACTATAAGCCCCCTCTAAAGTGATTTCTCTTCTGTTTTCTCAGAGAGTAAAGTTGCACTTATCACTTACTGGTCTCTTGGGAATATTCTGAATGGATCCTTTTTCAGTGATAGAAGAGGAACACTGGACATAAAACTGAACTCTCGTGTTGTGAGTGGAACCATTGGTGTAAAGGAAAAAGTTTATATGTCTAAACCTGTGTTCCTGACCTTCAAACATACTCAGGTGAGCAAAACCCAGAACTGGTTCTCTATGTGTTACCTTAAATGGGTGTGTTATCAGGATCCTAGCAGCTAACCTAATCCAACTCTGATTCTCCAGGGTTCAGAGAACAGACAATAAATATTGAGGCCTCCAGAGAAGCTTTTATTATCACACTAGAGGATCAGTGCACGAAATTCGTGCATGTGGGGGAGGGTCCCTCAGTCCGGCCTGTGCCGTCTTGCAGTCCAGGAGCCCTCAGGGGTTGTCAGTCAGACATTCTTAGTGCTACTGCGGAGGCAGGAGAGGCTCCCGCCACCACTGCTGCTCTTGCCAGCCGTGAGCCCGGCTCAGGGCGTCTGGCTGAGCAGTGCTCCCCCTGTGGGAACACACTGACTACCAGGGGGTACTTCCTGAATTGAGCGTCTGTCCCCTGGTGGTCAGTGCACGTCATAGCAACCCATCATTCTGCCATTCAGTTGATTTGCATATTAGCCTTTTATTATATAGGAAAGATTATGCCTAAAAAGGCAATGGGGGGGATGAGCATTATTGAACCCAGTGAAGGCTAGAGGCATGGAGGAGGGATTGCCCTGCTGGAGAAAGAAGCATGGAAGAAATACCTGGGCTTCTTTAGCTCTCATCCAATGATCTCTCACTAGTTCCTCTCATTGGTCCTACCAATGACAGGCAACCTGGGTAAAGCAGTTAATTAGGGTCAATTTCCAGAGCTCTGAGATGACCAGAGCAGGGCAGAATCAATGAGAATAAAGTCCACACACATGTAGTATAAAACTCTTCACCACACGGGTTCCAGATGATGGGGTTTTCCCAGCCAGTTTCCAACCCAGTGAATCCTTGACCAACCTATGAAGTTAAAATAGTAAAACCAGAAAGAGAGCCACTTTTATGCTATTCTCTTTCCAGCCTGGTGGTGCGAGAACAAAATATTTGTGTGTGTACTGGGAAGGATCCGAGGAGGGAGGCAGCTGGTCGACGGAGGGCTGCACTCATGTGAGCAGCAATGATTCTTACACCAAATGCAAGTGCTTCCACCTCTCCAGCTTTGCTGTCCTCATGGCTCTTGTTCCTAAGGTACCAAGATTCATGGTCCCTTCCTGTGAATCTGAGTGTGTCCAGGAAGCTGGGACGTCATCTGCTCCATGTCTTATAAAGACTCTTAAGATGTGGGGTCAAGCAGAAGTAACTTACTTGAGAGGTAGTTCCAGGAAGTACCAGCAGGGGACTGAGGAAGTGAAATGGGAAAAAGGACAGAAGCCACGCAGAGAACATTATCAAGCCACTGTGGATAATTGGAGTTTATGTCCCTCTGGAGGACTCTGGAGGTCAGTGTAGTTCATTCTAATTGATGCATAGCCATTCATATAGGAGTGCCTGCTATGCATCAGATGCTGTTAATAGGCACTGGAACAAGACACACAAAGAAATACTAACATTCATGGAAACTACTTTTGAGTGCTGTGTTTTCCAATAGGATCACCAGCCACGTATTGCTATTGAGTATGTGAAATGTGGCTAGTGTGACCGAAGAACCAAATTTTAAATTTTACTTCATTTTAATTTATTTAAATTAAGAAACAGTGTAGAGTTCCATTGAAGACGGTGGAGTAGATGGAGGCTGTGCTCACCACCTTCTATAAGTATATCAAAATTACAACTAAATTATAGAACAATCAATCTGGAGAACCATCTGAAGACTTGTTAAACAGAAGTCCTATAATTAAAGATATAAAGGAGCCACATTGAGACAGGTAGGAGGGACAAAGACATAAAGTGGGCTGGCCCCAAACCCATGTGTGGTGGTGAGAATCCATAGGATTTCTCAGCTGCAGATGTCCTCACTGAGGAGTGAGGGGTCTCAACCCAATGCCAGGCTTCCCAGCCCAGAGCACCAGTGCTGGGAAGATAAGCCCATGAAACATCAGGCTGTGACAATCAGCAGGATTCTGTCCATCCAGGTCAGACAGGATGCTGCTTAAAACCTAGGTGTCATCTTAAAGGACCCACAAAATCTCACTTATGGGCACTCATCTTGACCTCTGGCAGAGGGACAGTGGCTTGGGGGCCACCAGATACATACAGGGCAAAACTGAGTTATGTGGCTTCAGGGTCAGGGCTGGAGGAATGACAGCCATTGTCTCTGTGTTGAGCTCACTCCAACATATCTGAACCTGCATTTGTCTGGTGAACTCCACTCGCCCCAACCTGGGGATTCCCTGAGACCCTACCTCACCCAACTCAAGTACGACCTGAGGCTCTTTCAGTGGCTGAGCCTTATGGGCAGCCAGCAGGTGGTGGCAGGTCTTTGAGACTTTTGATGACTCACCCCCAGGTCTGGTACTGGTGAAAGCTGGCCTCGGTTCTCATTGTGATCTTTTTCATGCACATCCAGGCTTAACACAGGCAGCTACCAACCACAATCACTTTGTAGCTCCTAATAGGAAGCCTATTAGGCCAATCATAGGCAGCATCTAACATTGGCCTGCACCATAGCCCCTCCCAATGGGCCCCAGAACCAACACACCTAGTGGCGAGCTCAGATCACATTAGAGCAGCACCCAATTAGCTCCACAAGTGGCACACCCAAAGATGGTCTCGGCAGGCACCAGGATCTGCTGGGGCAAATCCTACTCCATGGGGTCAGCCTGTGGAGAGCAGCTCATGTGCTGTGGTTGTGGCCAATCCTCACAGCCAGTGAGCCTTAAAGTCAATTCATCCACGGACATTTCAACAACAATCAAGGCTCAACTTCAATAGGAGGCACACACAATCCACATAAGGGACACTCCTGGAGCACCTGGCTCAGGTGAACAGAGAGACTGCATCACTGGGCCCCACAGGACACCTACTACATAAGGCCATTTGCCAAGACTTAGACATGTAGCAGATCTACATAATACATAGAAACAGACTCAGACAGTCAAAGGGAGAAGATACACACACACACACACACACACACACACACACACACACAACAAAACATGAAAGAACAAGAGAAATTTCCAGAAAAAGAATTAAATAAAATTGAGGCAAGCAATCTACCAAACAGAGAGTTCAAAACATTGGTTATAAAGATGGTCAAAGAACTTAGTGAGAACTTCCACAAAGAGATAGTAAGCATAAAAATAGAAATAGAAACTATAAAAAAGAACCAGTCAAAAATAAAGACTACAATAACTGAAATAAAAAAATAGACCAGAAGGAATCAACAACATATTAGATGAAGCATAGGGTTGAATCAGCAATTTGGAAGACAAAGTAGGTAGCAGAAAACACCTAGTTGGAACAGCAAACAGAAAAAAAATAATTAAAAATATGAGTATAGATTAAGGGACTATACTGGGATGACTTCAGTTTAGCAAGATTTGCATCATAGGGATACAAGAAGGCAAAGAAATAGAGCAAGGGATTGAGGGTCTATTTGAAGACATACAAGTCCAGGAAGTGCAGAGAGTTCTAAACAAAATGAAGTCAAAGCAGTCCACATCAAGACATGTCAAAATTAAAAAAAAAAAAAGACATGTCAAAATTAAAATGGCAAAGGTTAAAGACAAAGAGAATCTTAAAAGAAGCAAGAGAAAAGTAGTTACTTACCTACATGGAAGCTCCCATAAGAATGTCAGCTGATTTCTCAACAGAAAATTTTCAGTCAGATAGGATTGGTGTGAAATATTCAATAGATAATTCTCCACAGAAGTCATACAGATAGCCAATAGACATATGAAAAGATGCTCAACATCACTAATCATCAGAGAAATGCAAATTAAAAATCACAATGAGATATCACCTCATGCCTGTGAGAATGGCCATCATCAATAAATGAACAAATAATAAGCATTGGTAAGGATATGGAAAAAAGGGAACCCTTGTGCACTATTGGTGGAAATGCAAATTGGTGCAGCCATTAGGAAAATAGTATGGAGGTTCCTCAAAAAATTAAAAATAGAACTACTTTATAATTCAGCAATTCCACCTCTGGGTATATTTCAAAATATACCCAAAATACTACTTGAAAGAGACATATGCATCCTTATATTCATTACAACGTTATTTACAATAGCCAAGATATGGATGCAATCTAAGAGCTCATCAATAGATAACTATATAAAGAAGATGTGGTACATATATACAATGGAATATTTACTCGGCCATAAAATAGAATGAAATTTTACCATTTGTGACAAGGATGGACCTAGAGGCTATTATGCTAAGTGAAATAAGTTAGATAGAGAAAGACAAATACCGTATGATTTCATTTATATGTAAAATCTAAAGAACAAAATTAATGACCAAAGAAAATAGAAACAGATTCATAGATACAGTGAACAGACTGAGAGATGCCAGATGGAAGGGGGATTGAGGGTTGGGTGAAGGGATTACTATAAATTGGCAGTTACAAAATAGTTAATAGGTATATAAAGTATAACATAGGGAATATAGCCAGTAATATTGTAATAACTATGTATGGTTCCAGGTGGATACTAGAATCATTGGGGGGATCACTTTTAAGTTAAAAAAAGTCTAACTAGCCCTGGCTGGTGTGCTCAGTGGTTATAGCATCAGCTTCCACACCAAATGTTCATGGGTTTGATTCCTGGTCAAGGGCATGTACCTGGGTTACAGGTTCAATCCCTGGTCCTGGCCCCAGTGTGGGTATGTGCAGGAGGCAATCAATTGATGTGTCTCTCTCACATCAATGCCTCTGTGATCTTATATATGCCCATATTTTGAAGATGAGAACAGCAAGTCTCAAAGAGGTTCACTCATTCACCTGAGGGCCTGAGCTAGGAAGCCCATCTGACTCTCCAACAGGAACATACCTACAGAGTTGGAAACTAAAACAGGTCCCTCCTTTGGTGGCTCCTAGGCGGATCCCATTCTGACTGTGATCACCTATGTGGGACTGAGCCTGTCTCTGCTGTGTCTCCTCCTGGCAGCCCTCACTTTCCTCTTGTGCCGACCCATCCAGAACCTCAGCACCACCCTCCACCTGCAGCTCTGCATCTGCCTCTTCCTGGCCCACCTCCTCTTCCTCACTGGGATTGATCAAACTGAGCCTGAGGTAGGTAATTTAATCAAATATCCTTGTAATAATCAAATCTATCATCTTGTCTTGAGGAAAGACTGCAAGAGAGGCAATAATCACCTGGGGGAAACTGCAAGAGTCCCGGTTTCAGTTCTCCTCCTGTATAATTTTGATAAGACCCATACTTTCTGATGGGCATTGAGCAAAGTGATTGCGAGTCAGACTGATGGTATTAGACCAGCTTACAATAGCTACTGTAACAAATTAACTCCAAAAATCAGTGCCTTATCACAAGAGTAGTTTACTTTACCTGTATGTATCTGTAGAGGGTGAGCAAACATGTTTGAAGGGTGTCTATCCTCTAATTTCAGGCTGAGAGAGGCCCTTCTGGCTCATATGTGGTTTCAAGATCATTCATTTTAGCCAACTGAAAGGAGAAAAGAGCATGGTGGAGTCCCACGAGGGAAGTTTATATGGGCCACCTCAGGAAGTAGTACATATCACTTCCTCTCACATTCCATGGTCACACCTAACTGAAAGGCATGCTGGGAAATATAGTCTCTGGCTGGGGAGTAATTTCTTAGAGACAAATCTATATTCTAGAACTGAGGGGTGGAGGGAGGCTTGCATTTTTGGTGGACAGTGTCTTTACCACACAACCAGCAGTTATATCTTGACTCTTCATCCTACTCACTACACGATCTTGTTGAAGTGACTTCCCCTTTTTAATCTTCCTCTCTAAAACAAGGGCATCAGCATAGGGCTCTAGCAAGATAGAACGTAGAGTCTGGATTAATCAACCAGAGAACAATGCTAGCTTTTATTTTTGTCATGGTCATATCATACCATCCAGGAAGAATTAGTAGCAGATGTTCTCCAAGGCTCCTTTCAACCCTAAAGACTATGATCGCACTACCAGAAAGTTATGAAAGCACTATTCCCCACCCCCCACACCTCCACAAAAGGAAGTAAAGTGCTATGGTTAACAGTAAGTGTTGGGGTCTGTCATGCTGCTGGCAAAGTCTAAGCTGACCAGAGGACATGGCAAAGCCCTGGACTCTACCCTATGTTGATCCTGGAAGGTTTTAAGGTCGAAGCTCAGGAAAGGCTTAATTAGAGTTTGCAGCAAAGCGGAACTAGACAAGGCTTGACCGAGGCACGACCTCTGTGGCTAAAAGTAGTAAAGGGCAAAAATACAGTTAAGCTAACATAACCTGATTGTCATAGTAACTGTCAAACATAGATGCATCTAGACAAAGCTTGCCCAGTCTTGCCCAGCCTGTAACGATCTGTTACTTCCCTATGACAGGCCAAGCCCTAGCAGTGATCTATGAAGCATGACCAGCCACAGCTTAGCTATAAAGCAGTGTGTGTAAAGAATAAAGTTGCTGGTTCTGGTGCCTTGTGCCAGTCCTCCTAACCCCGGTCTCTTGTATTTCATCCCATGCCACCTCTACCCTGCGGGACCCCTTAGGAGCGGGCCTCCACAAGTAAGCATGATCTCTGCAGACAGTTTGAGTTTCAAATACGTTTTTGTTTTTTATTAGCTTTGTGATCTTGGGAGAAATTTTAACTTCCTGGGCCTCAGTTTCCTTAGTTCAAAATGGGCAGAAGTTGGCCAACTACGGTGCACAGGCTAATTCTGGCCCACCGTCTGTTTTTGTAAATAACATTTCATTGGAACCATGACTGCCGATGTCCAAGGGGTAAAGAAGATGGACATCTCAGCTCAAGAAGAGAGAGTGGATTCTCTTTTCCTGTTCTTTTTTCTTCTCTTCAGGCCCTTCATGGATTGGATGATGCCTTCTTGGTGAGGGCAATCTTTATTACTTAGCTACTGATTCAAATGCTAATCTCTCCCAAAAACACCCTCACAAACACACCCAGAAATGATGGATAAAATTAACCATCACAGTCTCCCACAGGGCAAGAGCAATGGAGCATTTCTATGCCAGTACCTATTTGTCATGGATTTGAGGGCTGTTCTAAGGACATTCATCTCTTGGTGCTTCTGTCCTGCCCCATGCATGGGACAAGCAGACTTCAATAGCCAGAGAAAGCCTCCAGAAAATGTGTTGCCCCAGACAAAGTGTCATAGGTGCTGGAATTAAAATTCCAGTCAGCATCCAGGAAACGGATAAGTGCTGAGGATATAATCAGGTACAGACAACATCGGCACCACATTCCTAATTCTTCTCTCCCTTCCAGGTGCTGTGTTCCATCATCGCAGGGGCACTGCATTACCTCTACTTGGCCTCCTTTACCTGGATGCTCCTCGAAGGACTGCATCTCTTCCTCACTGTGAGGAACCTCAAGGTGGCCAACTACACCAGTGGGAGCAGGTTCAAGAAGAGATTCATGTACCCTGCAGGCTATGGGATTCCAGCTCTGATTGTGGCTGTGTCTGCAATAGCAGGACACAAAAATTATGGAACACACACTCAGTAAGCATGATGATAGCGTTTATGGCAGAAGTGGTAGCCATAATACAACTTCCTGAAATTCAGGGGCAAGAGAGCAAACCGATGACCCCACATTAAAAATCTGTGGGTTTTATGATCTGTAGGATTCTGAAAGAATAGAATGTAAAGAATAACAATAACGACAAATCTCAAAGTCCTGTGCTATGTCAGCGATAGTGCTTTCTATTTGCAGACTCTCATCTACTCTTCCCATGGGGCTGGCATTGTTTGTCATGTTATGCACAGGACAGCAGGGCCTTAGCTAATCTAATAAACATTCTCAAGGTCAGATCTGAAAGCAAGTAAGTCAGAATTCCCAAAGCAGTATTTTTAACAGCCATGTTTTGCTGCCTCACTAAAGAAGTTTGTAAAGCCTTGCAAAGTTTGTTGAAGAAGTTAGTATTTTGGCAATGGGGCTTAGGGTAGGAAGTAGGTATGCATGTGCTAAAACAAACAAACAAGCAAAAAACATGTAGGAGGCTGTCCATCTTGAAGTCAGAGAATACCTCATCTCCAACTTGATCCCGATGTCCTGCCAGAATGGTTCTGGAGATGGGAGGGTAGATGGGAGTCGGCAAATTTTCTATAAAGGGCCAGATGGTAACTTTTTTATCTTTGCAGGCCATGTGGTCTCTGTGGCAATGACTCAGCATTGCCCTTGTAGTATGAAAGCAGCCAAGTCATAGACAATATGTAAATGATTGGGTATGGCTGTGTTTGAATAAAACTTTATTTATAAAAACAAGGAGTAGACTGAATTTGGCCCATGGGTCATAGTTTTGCAACCCTTGGAACAGAACTAAGAGTGGGAGCTTTTCTGACCAATGAGTGTTGGCGATTGCTTGATATCTTTGCCAGTTTTGTACTGCCAGGTTCCCTATCAGAATAAGTTATACTACCATTGCTAACATAAGCATACAGAGTCTTATGGTAGTTTTTTAAAAATATATATTTTATTGACTTTTTTTATAGAGAGAAAGGGAGAGGAATAGAGGGTTAGAAACATTGATGAGAGAGAGAGAGAAAAACATCGATTCAGCTGCCTCCTGCACACTCCCTACTGGGAATGTGCCTGCAACCAAGGTACATGCTCTTGACCTGAATCAAACCTGGGACCCTTCAGTCCACAGGCTGATGCTCTATCCACTGAACCAAACCAGTCAGCTCTTATGGTAGTTTTAATAAACTACATTTACATTATTATTTTTATTCCTGTTTCACAACTTTATTGAGATGTAATTGATATACAGAAAATTATACATATTTAGTGAATACATGCTTGTGAGTTTGGACACATGCATACACTGTGACACCATCACCGCAATCAAGGTATCAAGTATATGTGCACCTCCAAAAGCTTCCTGGTCGCACCCAGAACACTGACACTGAAGCAATCCATGGGTCATATTCATACTTCTCAAGTTTTACTTGTATTCATTTGTGTGTTTAGTTCTGTACAATTTTATATAGAGGTGTAACCCCTACCAAAGATTACATTCCATATGATTCTCATTTTATAACACTCTTGAAATAACAAAATTATTTGTACTCTCTTTCTTATTATAACACTTATTATTATAGTACTCACTGTTATTAGGATACCTACCTTTACTGAGCCTTAACTCTGCCAGGAAGTGTATCCAAAAACTGTGTACACATGACCTCATTTCATATTTCCTACAAGATCTATATGAGGAAAATGATGAAAGAAATCAGAGAAGGCTCAAATAAATGGAGAGAGAGTCCATATTCATGGGTGGTAAGACTGCATACTGTCAAAACGAAGTTAGTTCTTTCCAACTTGATCTATAGGTTCACAATGCATTTTATTTTTTGGACGTTTGACAAACTGGTCCTAATATTTATGTAGCGAGACCTGGAATAGTTAACACAATGTTGAAGGAGAAGAATAAAGTCACAAAACTGACCCAACCTGACTTCAAGGCTTTGTAGATAGTCACAGTAATCATTTAAATTTTTAAAATACTTCTGTTAGCACCACTTTACACCTGGGAAAACGGAGACTCAGAACATATAGCCTGTATCAGATGGAGACTCGGGTCTGATTCCATCTAAAATCCAGGTCTGAACTAAACAGCTTCTGGCACTGCTCAGATCTTGTGAGAGGAGCCTGAATTAAATACTTTCTCTTCTGAGAAATAAGTGGGGAATCCTTTCTTTCTCTCAACAGCTGTTGGCTCAAGATCGATAAAGGGTTCATCTGGAGCTTCATAGGGCCAGTGGCCGTCATTGTCTTGGTAGGTGACCACTGATGGTTATATATTGGGGTGCCTGCCCTGGGTTGGCCAAGCATAGAGAGTGTTTGTTATTTGTTAAAGGGGAAATGAGATAAAGATAAGGAAATATAACTTAATTGATCAACCCTCTCTTACTGGAAATACTGTCTGTGTCTTTCCCTGGCTTCTGCCTCACTCACTGGTTGCTTTGATATAATATAACCCTCTACCAGGCATTCTTTTAAAAATTCTACATTTGTTTATTCAACAAATATTTAGCAAGTGTCTACTCTGCATAGAGTAACATGTTTTTCTGTTGGTTAGGAACTTTCATTTACATCCATTATCCTGGTACAGATATTAATAGCACTTTTTCACTTTCAACGTGTCCTGGTTTGAATGATAAATTATATAGTTAGTGTGATCAAGCACTAAGTGCCACAGGTTCTATACTGTGTGCTGTTTACACCAGAGCATTTGTCTACACCATCCTATGAAGCCTGTATCTTTTGGGGAAAGCGTCTTAGGTTCATCTCAAGTTGGGTTGCATGACATGGCCTCAAAAGGAAATTTCAAGTAAAATTCCCATGTTGCTGCCACAGATAAACTTGGTCTTCTACTTCCAAATTCTGTGGATTTTGAGAAGCAAACTTTCCTCCCTCAATAAAGAAGTTTCCACCATTCAGGACACCAGGTAAGAAGTTACCAGAATCACTGTTTTCCAGATTTTCCTACAAAACAATTCTGCCTGGGAGAGAAAAACCTATACAAAAAGGTGATGTAACATTTCCTGGCACTAGATAAAGAATACATAAGGGACAACTTATAGAAGAAGTAAAAACTATAATTTTCAGGTGATTTCATGTACTCCCTCATCTCTTTATTCAGTAAATATTCATTGGGTGCCTCATTTGTGTAGCTCACTCTTCATATAAAATTAAAGCCAAGACTATCAACATTATCTTTTTCACCCTGAAAGTTCAACCACTTTTGGATTCCATTCTCCTTGGTTGTAAAAACTCAATTCTCATTGGTGCTGACCTAAATAATTAAAAATACTGATGACAACAGCTAATATTAACTAGGAACCTGGTAGGTGTTGGGCACTTACACAGATTAGTTCATTGAATGCTCATGACACCAACCTCTGTGGTGGGCACTACTAATAACCCCACTGATAAGAGGAACAAACTATTCAGTGTACCCAAGAGCGGGTACAATCCTTGCATTGGTGAGCCATGTGGACAAAACTTAAAGGAATCTCTGTCCAACTTCAGATCTTGCCTTCGATCTCATGTACATATGAAATTAACCTAACATCTCAGCTTGAGTTTCTTTAATTCTGGAGGGCTGGAATGTCAGCCTTCTTGGTGTTTCTCCATATCTCTACACACACACACACACACACACACACACACACACACACACACACACCAGCTTACCTACCCCATGTCCATCAGCAACTCATTCTAGACTCAATTTTTGTTTGAAGAAATCCAACACCGTGTTATGTTCTAAAGTCGTGATACGTTCATCATCCACTTTTTGCAATGGAAATTTCTAGAATGCACTTTCCACAAATCTTCCAGTAAGTCCAGGTAAGAGACTTCGCAGGGGAAAAGTGTTATTCTCAGAGGCAATAATTGAAAACACGGGTTCTGCCTCATCCTTAAGCTATGTGCCTTTGTGAAAGCTGCTTAGCCACCCAAGGTTGTTATGAAGTTTAAAGATGGTGATGCACCCAAGGCATTGAGTACAGTGCCCAACAAGCAGTGCGTCCCTGATAAATGGTAGTAATTATTACTCTTTTTCCTTTTCAGAGTCATGACATTTAAAGCCATTGCTCAACTGTTTACCCTGGGCTGTTCTTGGGGCCTTGGATTTTTTATGGTTGATGAAGTTGGGAAGACAATCGGATTAGTCATTGCCTACATGTTCACCACCATCAATGTCCTGCAGGGGGTTTTGCTTTTTGTGGTCCACTGTCTCCTTAATCGCCAGGTAAAGTCAATTACTTTGTCTCCGAGTTTTATTAAACGGCTGTTCATTTCTTGTCCTCTTCTGACCTTTTATATTTTGGGGTTGCCTTGATTCTGGGAAGAAGGTTTAGGTGCTGCTTGGGTTTGCCATGTGCTCTGGTTTCATTTAGCCTCTTAACATTGATCATTTGAGCATATCTCTTAAGAACGTGCAGTCATCTGCTCAGGCAGCCATAAAAAACAGAGGCCGTGTGGCTTAGACAACAGAAATTTATCTCCTCAGAATTCTGGAGGCTGGAATTCTGAGATAAGGTGCAACTAATGTCAGGTTCTGGTGTGAGCCTCCTAGTTGGCTTGCAAGTGGCCGCCACCTTCTTGCTGTGTCCTCAATGGGTGAGAGATTTCGAGAGAGCTTTTATGCTTCTTTTTATAAGGACACTAACTCTATTGGATCAGGGCTCTACCCTTATGACCTGATTTAGTCTTAATTACTCCCATAAAGGCCACATCTCCAAATAACCATCAGTGGTCACCTACCAAGACAATGATGGCCACTGGCTCTCATTGTTGAGCTAGAGCTTTAACATACGAATTTTGGGGGTGAAGGACACAAACCAGTTCATAGCAGAACATGTTATCAGTCAGGATAAGGTAGGTTATGCTACAGTAACAAATAGTCTCCCTCCCCTCATTCACAATAAGATGTATTTCTTGCTTATGCTACATAGCTCCATGAACTACATTATCTTCATTTGAGGATGTATGCTGAGGGGGTAGCCCCTATGTAGAACATCAGTGTTCTCATGGCAAAGGGAAAGTGATCATGGCACAGCGATCTCTTTCATTGGCCAAAGCAAGTCACATGGCCAAACCTGAACTCACAAGAGAGAGGATGAATAATTCTCCTGTAGTGAAGTGCACTGCATGGAGAGCACTGTAATATTTGGCAAAATCTATGATACATGGTAAACTCAGAGAGATTTTAGTTTAATCCCTGTTTTTCCAATGAGTGGGTTGCTGTGTGACCTTGGGTTGCTGTGTGGCCTTGGGCAGGCTGCTTCCCTCTCTGAGCTGCGATTTTCTCATCCAAAAATGTGGCAGTACCTACCTCATAGGGCTGATAATTAAATGAGATAATTCAGTATCAATCTCCTAGTAACAACCTTGGCATATACCAAGTTCTCAGTGGAGGGCATTATTATAATTTTACTCTTTATAGAAGATTGAGTATGGTTTTCCTGGCTTTTTCTTTCTTTGCTAGTGAGTGGAACTATCCGTAGTTAAGATATAAGTGATGCCCTGACTGGTTTGGCTCAGTGGAGAGCATCAGTCTGCGGACTCAAGGGTCCCGGGTTCAATTCCGGTCAAGGGCATGTACCTTGGTTGCGGGCACATCCCCAGTGGGGAGTGTGCAGGAGGAGGCTGATTGATGTTTCTCCCTCATTGACGTTTCTAACTCTCTATCCCTCTCCCTTCCTCTCTGTAAAAAATCAATAAAATATATTTTTTTAAAAAGATGCAAGTGATAAAAAGACATCTTAACGGTTCATTAATTTCTCTTTTGTCTGTTAATATTGATTTCAGAGAGGGAAATAGAAACATCAATGATAAGAGAAAAGTCATTGATCAGTTGCCTCCTGCACACCCCACACTAGGGATTGAGCTCTGACTGGGAATCGAACCTTGACCTCCTGGTTCATAGGTTGACACTCAAACACTGAGCCATGCAGGCTAGGCTGTTAGTGCCTTCTTAATGCTTGGTACTCTTTACACACAGAAGTAAAATACAATTAAAGTGTTTTGGCAAATTAATGTTGAGTATTAAATATTCAGATGTCTTTTTTATAACCTGTTGAAGAGGTTAAAGGAAGACAATTTGTGGAGTCACTTTGGGTGGCTTAGTATCAGGGCTCTGGAGTAAGAATGACAAGATTCTGAGTGCTGTTTGTGTGACCTTATGCAACTTAATATACCTCCAAGAGTCTCAACTTCTTCATCTTCAATGGGGAGTGGGGACAAGGAGTCATTTACTGATTGGATTTATGTAGGGGTTAAATGATATATTGTATATAAGTACATTAAACACAACTAGTTTTCAATACATGGTGCCCTTCATCATCATAATCACTGTTAGAGTTTGGCTGGTGACTTGGGCTGTGAAAGAATTCACAACTGAAAGAAGATTTGCAGAGTGGAAATTTATTTTACTCTCCAAGAGAGGAAAGGGTCAAGTATTACTAGTCAATACAGGGCAGGGAAGAAAGGGTGGTCTGCTCTTTTAAGCCGTGGCTGTTTGTTGCTAAGCAACAAGGAAGGGAGGAGGTTTGCGTTGAAGTTGAGCAGATACCAGGGGGGTTGTCTTGAAAAGTTCATTTGCTTTCCAGAACACAGTCCAGCAGATGTCCTAAGGAGATGTCTTATCAATTTTCCCCAAGCCTGTAAAACATGCGTAGAACAAAAGTTATGAAGAATTCTAAAGAGGCTTGGAAGGAAACTTTCTACTAACTAGAGGTTCCTTGGTGTGAATTATCCCTGGGTTATGAAAACAGCAGGGAGGAGGCAGATGCAAGAATGTAGCCTTTAAAGTAGCTTTAGAGTAGTTTGAACAGAAGAACTGTTTAAGTCAGAGGAGCCAACAATCTTGGGTTTAATTACCAGGTGCTTCTCATAAGTTGTGGAAGGCCACAGCAAAGAAAAGGAACGGCCTTTTTCTGTCCTTATAATCACCACCCTCATTACCTTTACTATCATCATTAGTGTCACCATCACCACCATTTAATCTTCATTACCATCATCATCATTTACACCAGGGGTCCTCAAACTACGGCCCACGGGGCCAGTTCACTGTCCCTCAGACCGTTGGAGGGCCGGACTATAGTTTAAAAAAATCTATGAACAAATTCCTATGCACACTGCACATATCTTATTTTGAAGTAAAAAAACAAAACGGGAACAAATATAATATTTGTATTTGCATGTGGCCCGCGGGCCGTAGTTTGAGGACC